CCTGTTTTCCCAACATGAGATCATAAAAAGTTCACAATGGGTGACATGGCATGGAATGCAGACCATAGCATACTAGATGCCTTGCACTAGAGAATATCTGTAATGAAATCCACAGTTCTTAAGTCTTCTAGCTACTTTTTAGTTGTTAAGTCACTTCTTGTGTTTTTCACTTGTTTTCTGTTTCTATTTTTGGTAGGTGCTATCTTGTTCTCTAACTGCAAACTGAATCTTTTTCAACTTTCAGGTACTTGGTTGGTTGTGACAATGTTCTTGCCAAACTGCACACGAAGCATCCGGAACTGTGTGACAAGGTTGGTGGGCTTCTAGCCATGCATATTGATGATCTTCGGGCCTTAGCGCCCAAGTGGCTTTCAAAAACTGAGGAAGTACGAGAAGATAAAGCCCATTGGGCCACCAACTATACTGGTGATATATATAATTCCGGGTGGATCAGTGAAATGTATGGGTATTCTTTTGGTGCTGCAGAAGTGAGTTTCTCCTCTCTGTTTTTGGTTCTTAGTCATGCCTGTGTAGGGTGTACTCTCTTATTTTAGTTCCTACCTTTTTTTAATGTCTCAGGTGGGACTCCGACACAAGATCAATGATAATTTGATGATTTACCCCGGGTACATTCCACGAGAGGGCATTGAACCTATTCTTTTGCACTATGGGTTGCCTTTCAGTGTTGGAAACTGGACATTCAATAAACTTAAGCATCATCAAGACAACATTGTTTATGATTGTGGCCGCCTCTTTCCAGAGCCACCTTATCCCAGAGAGGTAAAACATTAACACTATGTTTAGTTCGAGGAATTAGGAAGGAAATTGTTAAGGAAAAGAAAAGAAAATAAATCCTTTTTTCTTTGGTCATTAGTGAAATTGGCGAGGAAAATATTTTTCTTTCATGTGTTATGGCAAGAAGATATGGAAACAGCCGCTCTATGTTTTAACTTAGGGGTCATGCTACGTGCATCCGACCCCCCTTACCCAGCAATGGGCGGGATCCTTTGAGGCACTGGGATAATGTTGTAGTTCTTGTTTTGGCGAGAAGACATGGCTGAGAAGAGGGAGAAGTTTAGCGAGAGGGATTGAAGGGAGAGAAGCGAGAGGAATTGAGCAATGGATTGGTTGCACTTGACTAGGTTTCTCTCCTTTTCCTCACCAAATTGGAAGTAAAAATGTTTTTACCTTTTTAGTTTATTTTTTACTCATTTTTCTTTTCTTCTCTAACCAAACAAGAAAAATATTTTCCATATCATTTTCTTTTCTTTTCCCTATCATTTTCCTTGAACCAAACATAGTATAAGGAAATGTTTGGTAAGCCATAATGATATATGAAATGTAATGGAACCAATTCACAGTAGAAATATGTACTGAATATTGGTCCGATTACATTGCAATAAGGATGCTAAACGTAAGTAAATGAGTTTCAACTTGTGGATGGTTGTTGTCACCACTTGTATTACAAGGATTATCATGCTCCACTTTCTTGCATAAATGCTCAAATGTGTTGTTTGGAACCCAGAAAATGATAAAGGAAAGAAAAATAGGTGAAGAATTTATTTTTTTGTCTTTAGACCTTTGTCCTAATATTTATTTATTTCAGTTATATAAAGACTATGAAATATAAATAAAGTTAAACACATGCAAAATTCCAATCACGTTTGATTTTCCTCCTTGTTTTCTAAAAATATTTTTCTTAGCATTTTTTCCCGAAATTTTTTTGTATTAAAAATATAGCCTAAAGCTAATTAAATAAACTTTTTTGCATTTTGCAGATAAAAGAAATGGAAGTTGATCCTCTCAAAAGGAGAGCACTGATGCTGAATATAGAATGCATGAACACGTTGAATGAAGGTCTGTTATTGCAACATGCTGCTTTTGGATGTCCCAAACCAAAGTGGTCAAAGTATTTAAGTTTCTTGAAGAGCAAATCGTTTGCCGACCTCACTCGACCAAAACTTTTGACTCCCAAAAGCCGGCAAACAATGGAAGTCACACATCAAACTGACGTTTCTCAAGCCACTGATGAGCCCGAAAAGCCACATCCCAAAATCCACACCATCTTTTCTACGGAATGTTCATCGTACTTTGATTGGCAAACTGTGGGACTTGTCCACAGTTTCCACCAGAGTGGTCAGCCTGGAAATATCACAAGACTTCTGAGCTGTACAGAAGAGGAGTTGAAGCAATATAAAGGCCATGATTTGGCTCCAACCCACTATGTTCCGTCCATGAGTCGACACCCTTTGACTGGAGATTGGTAATGTTGTTTGGCTGGTCATAACAAGCGCTCTTCAAATATTATTATACTTTATTATCTGTAAAATAAATACAAAATAATACATGTCCCAAAAAGAGTCATGTCTGATCAAGGTATAATTTTTAGGTAAATTTTCATGTGTGACTTGCATTCTGCCCTTTTTTTTGGAAATTATCATGAAAAATAAGCTTCGTATGATCAAACATCACTCTTTTGGGGACAAAAATGTGATTGAAATATGACTCTTTACGGACTGCTTGGAGTAAAAGGATATTAGAGACCAAAGTTAGGACACAGTTTTTCACAATCAATTACAGGCTACTTTTCATCTCAACATTGACTCCCTTACTATTTATCGTGTTCTTTATATCTAAAGTTCTAAACATTACATCTCTTCTCTGATCCACATATGTTTTGTAGATTAAAGACACTTCTCATGTTGATACTCCAAATAGGCTATATTTATCATTTAAGATCAATTATTGTATACTCAAATCATTTTTATGTTAATTATATGCCAAATTTTCTCTGCTTCAGCAAACATTTTGTGTGCTAGTTTGAAGCACTGTAAAATGGAAATAGATTTTAAACACATTTGGTTCATGGAATGTCAGGTACCCTGCAATTAATAAACCGGCTGCAGTGCTTCATTGGCTTAATCATGTCAAGATTGATGCAGAGTTCATTGTTATCTTAGATGCAGATATGATCATGAGAGGACCAATAACTCCATGGGAGTTCAATGCTGCCCGTCACCGACCAGTCTCAACTCCCTATGAGTAAGAAAATTTATAATACCATCTTCCCTTTCAGTTAAGAGATAATAAGGGTTGCATTAGATGGAATTCAGTGAATTCACTCGATTAGCCAGTCTATCCCCAAAACCTTATTATTAGCTCATATGTCTAAACTTTGCCGTGTTATCAAGTTGGTGGTTTTTCTTGAAATGGTTCAGCTATCTGATTGGTTGCGACAATGTTCTTGCAAAGCTGCATACGCGCCACCCTGAAGCCTGCAACAAGGTTGGAGGTGTGATTATCATGCACATCGATGATCTCAGGAGGTTTGCTTTGTTGTGGCTGCATAAAACAGAGGAAGTCCGGGCCGATAGATCCCATTGGTCTAAAAACATAACTGGAGATATATATGAAGCTGGATGGATCAGTGAGATGTATGGCTACTCCTTTGGTGCAGCAGAGGTAGTTTTCACATAATTTGCTTTTGTAGGAAAAAGAATTTACTCCGTTGCGCTAATTTATTGGCATTTTCTCCTTTCCTATCTAAGGTTCTGTTTGGTTGTCCAGAAAATAATGTGTTCACATTTCTTATATTTTACAGTTGAATTTGCGGCATGTCATAAGCCATGAGATTCTTATATATCCCGGATACATTCCTTACCCCGGTGTCAAGTACAGAGTATTCCACTATGGGCTGGAATTCAGGGTAGGAAATTGGAGCTTTGATAAAGCACAATGGAGGCACGTTGACTTGGTCAACAAATGCTGGGCCACGTTTCCGGACCCACCGGATCCAACGTCCCTTTCCCAAACCGATAGCGACTCGCTGCAACGCGACTTGCTTAGTATAGAGTGCGCAAGCAAGCTGAACGAAGCTCTACGGCTACACCATGAGAAAATGAATTGCCCGGACCCGAATTCTCCACCCGTTATAGAGACAGAAACGGTTCGTGAATCAGCGGATGAGATTCAGTCCGTGCAGCATGATTCTGTTCCAAAGAATGGTTCTCAAGAATCGTCGCCCCCTGAGGTGACGAATGGGACATTGAGTTCCATGAGGTTTTGGATTATTGTTTTATGGGTCATTTCAGTTGTTGGGTTTTTGGCTGTTATGGGAATGGCTCTTTTGGGGCGTAATAAGGGCGCGAAAAGAAGAGGTAAGAGTCACAAGGCCAAGCGAAGGGCTTCTCATTCGGGGTTTTGGGATGTAAATGGCAATGAAAGGCACCTTCGCAGCAGCGAAACCGCATAAGAGGGACTACAATGTGAGTGAAAGGTACACAAATACCATCAGGTTAGGGTGGGTGTCTTGAGTTGCCCTTATTCTAAGGGTAGTTCCGACATTTCTTGAACCTGTAATTTATTTTTATTTTTTTTGGTTTGCTCATTGAATCATTATTCTTTTAGAGTATAGACTTTGTGTATGATCTGTACATTTGAAAATAATAAAAAACAGATAGAAAAAAGAAGTGTATCTATAACTAAATGTAATGCTTGTTGCCAAGTTTTTTTGCTTGGCTTCCCTGAAGAGCTTCGAACTGATTTTTTTAATACAAAAAAATGCGTATTTCATATGGGATTTTTTTTTTGGAATTTCAGGTGAATAATGAGAATTTGAGAAGACTCATTCAACATGGATAAAGTATGTCAAAACCGTACCAAAAATTGTTTTTTATCAGTACCAAAATAAAGTATTGGTTTCATAAATCTTATGGAAGTAATAATTGAGCAGTTCAAACTTTAAATTAGCTTTCATTCCTATAAACAAAATTTTAGATATATACTCACTTTAATTTTTTTAATTTGTATAAAATCATATTTAAAAACACATTTTGGGAGAGTGATAAAATGTGTGGGATATTATTTTCTTTTCTAATTGCTCCAAACTAAAACTTTCATTAAAAAGTAACATAAGCTTATAGTATTAAATTAGAAGTACTCAATTAGTGCAAGTCAATTTGTATTCAAATGTAACAATTCAAAAGCTTGGAATATAAATTCAAACATGAATTTTTTTATTCAACTTTTAAACTACAAATTCAAGAGTATCCAACTTGGACAATGTACGAAATGAATACAGAAATGTATGCTTACATTAAAAAGGAATGAGTATATTCTTTTTTTCTTACATTTGTATCAATATCTTTTACCAAGGGTAAAGTTTTAATTATGGACAGAAGGAGTATATATATCATACCAAACACACAAATGAATTAATGGAGAACTCAAGTAAGTTCATATCAAGAATGATAATGAGCTAAGCCCAGTTTACAAGCTGCAAGAAAACAACCTATAGAGTATAGAGAAATGATGATGGTAAAAAAAAACTTAGGAGAAAAAGGGCAGTAGACCTTTATTTTAATGTAAAGGCCAAAAGAACATTGTTTGTTTCTCTGAAAGATCTGCACATTGGAATNGGGGGGGGGGGGGGTCGATTCTTCTTCTAGAACCCTCCACGAACATCATGATGAAACTCTAGCATAATCACAAGCTCAGGCGAAGCGCTTGTTGACCTCTAAAGCCTTGATGTTCTGGATTTGCTTGCCGGGATTCAACCCTTTCGGGCAAGCTTTGGCACAGTTCAATATCGTGTGGCAACGGTACAGCTTGTACTCATCGTCAACCGCCTCCAAGCGCTCCTTTGTGTACTCATCTCTGCTGTCCATTATCCATCTGCAATTTCACATGCGCGCACACACAAAGAGAAGAAGAATTATACAGAGTACCACAATAACAACAACCCCAATAGAATCCCACACAAACTAGGGTGGTCTCAGGAGGGTAAGTGTCCTACACAGACCTTACTCCTACATGGCTACATGGAAATAGAGAGGTTGGGTTCCAAGAGACCATGTCTGAAATACACAACTACGAGCACAAACCACAATAGCAATAACGAAGGACGAGTAAAGAGAGAGAAAACACACGTACAAACTCAGACTACATCCAAAGCACACAAACACACGTACAAACTCAGACTACATCCAAAGCACACAAACACACATACAAACTAGGGCATAAAAACCAACCCAGAAAAAAACTACAAGCTAAGGCTTACAGATGTACCCAACTAAATCCATTTGTTCCTATCTAAGGTCATAACTCATAACCTTGGAGAAGAATTATGCCAATTGACTAACCCTTGATGGTTACGCTTAGAGCTTGGGAATCGATTGGAAAAGAAAAAAGGAGAAAAATATACTCCGCATGTAGGATATAAAACATTTGGTTCAAGCACGATAAGTTTATTGTTGGTTTTTGCACATTTTCATTTCTTGAGCCGAAAGCCATTCACGATCAGCATCACGGCCTTTTCACTTAGGTGTATGTAAAGTATGCATACATGCATCCTCCCTCCTAAGACAAAATTCATGAGACCGTATTGGGTTGTTCCTCCTCCCACTCATCTTATATCGATTTTATGAAAGAGTAAAGAATCAAACATCTCACAACCTTAAAAAAACATAACCCGTATTTCGTTCCCTCTCCACTACCTAGTAAGGTCTGCATACACAACTCCTCGAAAGCTACTTTTTGTGGGTTTTTATTGTGTTTGTTTTTAGTAGCATATTTCTGAAACTGGCGGGCCCTAAAAACCAAACCAGCAAAAAACTACAAGCTAAGGCTTACAGATCTACCCAACTATTCTAAATTCTAATCTTATACAGGCATTCCTATCTAAGGTCATAACCTTGGAGAAAAATTATGCCAATTGAATTACACTTAATGGTTCCGCTTAGAGCTTCAAAATTGATATGGAAAGAAAAAAATGAGAAAAATTTACTCCGCATGTCAGATATAGACCAATTGGTTCAAGCACTACAAATTTATTGTTGGTGTTTGCTCGATCTCATTTCTTGAGCCGAAAGCCTTTCACAATCGGCATCACGGCCTTTTCACTTAGGTGTATGTAAAGTACACATACATGCATCCTCCCTCCTAAGACAAAATTCGTGAGGTCGTATTGGGTTGTTCCTCCTCCCACTCATCTTATATTGATTATATGAAAGAGTAAAAAATCAAAACATATCACGACTTAAAAAAAGCATAACCCGTATTTCATTCCCTCTCCACTACCTAGTAAGGTCTGCATACACAACTCCTCAAAAGCTAGTTTTTGTGGGTTTTTATTGTGCCTGTTGTTCGTAGCATATTTCATTCCTTTTTGCATTATCCGACGAAAAACCAAGTGTAGAAATAACTGTACTTAACCTAAATTGTTTCTTTTCCCTAGCATTTTTCTAGGTCTCAAACATACCCCAAAATTCTGATTCGCATTTCTGGTTATCACAAGGCCATAAAATCCACATAGCTTGCACCCCTAAGCAAATTTAGGGCCTGTTAGATAAGAGTCATTTTCGGGAAGAAAAACCATATTGCAACATTCATTTCAACAAGATAAATGGAAAATTGGAAAGCAACTTATTAGTCTATTCACTAATTTTTATTGAGAAGAGTATAAGATAATAAAGGCTACCAAACGGAACCCTAATCAAGCTCATGTCCATTTCAATTAAGCATACAGAGACACAGAGTAATAATTCGCCAGAAAAAAATAAAGAGGAGGAAGAATTGTAATACCGGTTGGCATGGAGGAGGGCGGCGGGGCCGAGATAAGACTCAGGATTCCACCAGTAACTGGGGCAGGATGTGCTGCAGCAGGCGCACAGGATGCACTCATACATCCCATCGAGCTTAGATCTATCGGCCTTGGTCTGGGGAATCTCCTTCCCTGGGGTAGGAGGCGGGTTCTTCCTCTTCAGCCACGGCTCGATCGACTTGTACTGGTTGTAGAAATTCGTCATGTCCACCACCAGATCCTTGATCACGAACATGTGCGGAAGCGGCGTGATCATCGAATCCGGCCCGGCGGAGATCTTCGTCAGGCAGGCCAGCCCGTTCTGGCCGTCGATGTTCATCGCGCAGGACCCGCAGATTCCCTCCCGGCACGACCTCCGGAAAGTCAGGGACGGATCGATCTCGTTTTTTATCTTGATCAGGGCGTCCAGCACCATGGGCCCGCAATCCTTCAGATCAATCTGGTACTCCTGAAGCTCCGGCTTCTTCGGGTTGTCGGGATTCCACCGGTAAATTTGGAACTTCTTCAGGTCGGAGGTGGCCGTCGCCTTGGGGTCCACCGTCTGGGCATGCGCCTCGGAAGCGTGAGCTCTTGCCAGAACAAGCTTCGCCGATGCCGCCGGTGACGACGGAACCCTAGATATCGCTCGTCGGACCAAACCAGACGCCATCGCCGTAGATTGAAGGAATCGTTTGGGTGTTAACGGGGGGGGGGCAGATGTTTTGGAATTGACGAATTGGGATATGTGTAGGCGGCGAAGTTGGGGAGGATTTATATGTAATTATGAGATTTCTACGTGGGCAAAGTGGGGATGCAGAATAAACCGCCTTTTGCCGCCGTGGAGATGAGTTGATGTGGCAATTTGTGATCCGTCCAAAGATTTCAAGGTAGCGTGGCTGCCTCGTGTGCAGTTCGACTTTTCTTTTTCTCCCTATATTGTTCAGAGTTCGGATGATATAAATTTTGAAATCTCAGATAAATAATTTGAGTTTTGAAAATTCAAGTAGAGTTATTTGGAAAAATTTGAAATCATAATTTAATTAAAAATTAGAGGTGGCAGTAGTAACTGATGACAGGGAATGTTCGACAGTTAATTGATAAAGACATCAAATTTTTATATTGATATCTCTCGCATTTGAGAGATATTGAAATTCTCTGTTCGAGGAATTTTTGATATGCTGAGATATCGAATTTTTTATATGTCTCACCAAACATCGAAAGAGAAATCTGATATCGAGAGATATGAAAACCTATATTTCATTAAGCATGCCCTAAATTTCCTTTGAATCAATTTGCTAGGACATTGAGTCATTTAACATGCTACTTTCACTTTTAGTAATGAGATTGAGATAAAATTTACTCCGTATTTAATAATCTAACTCGATTTTTTATCATAACATTCTTAAAATTAATCGGTATCATTATCATATCGTATCATTTTTTGGAATTCTTCAAAAGGCCTAAAATATTCAAATGACTAACATTAAATATAAAGAAATTATTACGGAGTATATCGACTCTCGTTTTTGTTTGGTCAAACCACATAGTATACGAGAGAAAATTTTGGTCCCGTTTGGTACATGAAATTCAAACTAATGAATTGGAATTGAGGACTTCAATTCCAATTCTGATGTTTGGTAGCACAAAAATTATGTGGATTTGAAATTGATAGTGCAAAAAATGAATTGAAATTAGAAAAATTCAATTCTACGGAATTGGCAAAATTAAATTCAGATGGAATTGAATCCCATTAATTTCAATTCCAATTCAATTTGGGAATATTAAATATTATTTCACACATAAATTTCAATTGAATAAAATAAATATATATAACTAGAGCTAAAACATACTCCCTCCGTCTCAGAGTATTTGTTCTTTTTTATTTTTACATACCATCCAATGCACTTCTTTAATCCATTTTATCTTATAATTTGTATATTAAAAAATTATAAAAATTATATATTAATAATCTATATGTTAAGACAAATCAAACAAGATCACACATGACTATATTTAGGCTTACACATTGAGAGAATTTGATGAGTCAAAGTGTTTAGATGAATAGTTCCAAAAGTCAAAAGTGGACAAAAACTGGGGGACGGAGGGAGTAGTTCATATATCAAAATGCTACCTTCTTACTTCCTCAGCCCTAATTTATACGGAGTAGTGCATTTTTACTAATTATAGGGTTAAACTTTATTTAATTTCTTTCTCTATTTTTGTTAGCAATTTGATAAATAAAATATTATTGTCACTCCTAATTTTATAGATTTTTTAATGTAGTATTTTAATATGTGATTTTTATTTTTTAATTCCATACCATTTTTCATATAAAATAATTTGAAAACAATTTCAGTCAAACATTGTAAACCGAAACAGACACTATAAATTAGAAGAAGTATTATTTTCTTCACAAACCAAACCAGATAAAGTCTCCAAAAAAGTGTGTTCTCTCATTTATAATTTTGGGCCCAATCAAAACGTGAGATAGGCCCAACGTGTTTATGATTAATTATTCCTTTGTATTTAGAGGCTTTAGGCCAAGAGGAAGTCCATCCTAAAATAATTTTTCAAACAGTATTCATATGTCAGACTTTAATCACCTTTTTTATATATTTTTGTTAATTACTCCGTATTTGATAAAATAATACGGAGTATAATATAGTCGACACCTTTTGTTTTGTAAATATTTTGATGTAGTTTTAAAATATATAACTGTTATTTTTAAAATTTTACACTTATAATTAAACTAAAAATAATTTCAATTAAATCTAGTAAACTGGGAGTAATATGGAAGCGTACGGTTTTAAAATTGCATCAACTTGTTAGAAATTCAATTCGATAACTTGTATCATACCTAACGTGATTAATAGGTCCATTACAAAATTAATCGCATCTCGATGAATCTATTAGATTATTTAGATATTCCGTACAACTAGCTAGCTACGTGCATTTATAATTTAAAAAACACACTCGTAAATGAAAACGGGTACGACTGCACATTTGAATAATGTGTATCATTTAGTTTTTTATCAAATGATATTAACACTATTATAATCTAGTATGTCTATAGTTTTTTTTAATCTAATTACACAGAAAGAGCCTCACAGATGTAGTTTTTTTAAATATTTCACGTGAAATATTATTATTTTTTTTAAAAAAATAGATGACGCTGATCATTTTTGAACCCGTAACTTTTTAGTCAAATAAGCTCTGATATATTGTCAAGGAACTAACTCAATCAAAAACTCAGACTTGTAGTTGTGACCCATAATAATTATTTAATATTTTAACAATATATAAACATAGAGTATAAAAAAGATGCTTTAAAACTACATTTCAAAATAAACTTATTGATAATAGATTTATATCATAAATATTAATTACTCCCTCAATTTCAAATTAAATTGTATGTTTACTATTCATAGAGTCAAACTTTATTCACCCTCTTTTCTTATTTTCATTAGTCATTTAATTTGATAAAATAATATCGTCATTTCACCATTAGTTTTGAAGCTCTTTTGATATATTTTTAAAATATGTACTTTTTATTTTCTAATTTCACACCGTTTTTCATATAAAATGATTTAAAAATAATTTCAATCAAATGTCGTAAACTGAAACAAACAATTTTAATTAGGACAAAAGAAGTACTCCATAATTTTTTTGAAACTGGTGGTTAAGATTCTAAATTCATGACCTCTTAGTCATCAAAATATCAACATAATGTCAAGAAAATCACTCAACCAAATGTTCAAGTGTGCCATTGTAGCCTACACAAAGGTTTTATACTCTAACACTCATTCAAATAGGCAGGAACACAAGTGATTATTACCATCAAGCTGTAAAATTGATGGTTTCTGCTCACTCACTATTCTCATAAACCCGCACCTGCTACATGTTCTTGCCTGACTAGGGTTGTAAACAAATCACACCTAATCAAATATTAATTGATGAATATTATTCGTATTTGTTAGTTTTGAGTGGTACGGTATTCGTATTGGGTTTGAATATTTTTAGAGATTGGTATTCAAGTCTGGATGACGTACTTTTTGAGTCAAATGAAAGTTATTAGTCAAATGGAACTTCTTTTTTTTTTGAATGCTATTGACTTTATTACAAAGTAGTATCTGTTCATACTATTCTCAAGCTAATGACTAATGACACGCAAAGAGCCAATGCTGCTGCTTTCGCTGGGGCTCGAACCTGGGTGAACTTCCCCATGAATCCTGGGAAGTGGGCTTGTTACCACTCAAGACAGGGGAGAAGTTCTCAAATGGAACTTCTTAACTTGTCACATAAATGGAGAAATAATGATACGAATAAGCACCGATTTCTTTAGTTAATTATTGATTTGATTTTAAGTACGTTACCAACATAGAAACATTTCGTTTTTTGGTAGATTCAATGGCACGAAACAAAGGAGAAATAAGAGGGCGCCAAATACATCCTCACCCACATCATTCACTCATTCAATTCTTCCCCCCTTCTGCCTAGAAACATTAAACAATCACAACACTATTAATTGTGTATTAAATAATTAAATATCTAGCTAACTAATGCAATTAATTAATTAATTAATTAATAATTTTTGTTTATTTATAAAGGCTCATCGTTTATATATGTTCATCTCCCTTAAAACTCGCTCGATCTCATCCCCCCTTCCCCATTCTCTCTCTCTCTCTTCTTTCTTTTATTAATTATAATTATTATTTCCATTTCTTCTTACCGCCTCCGGCCTGAAACCAATCTTTAATGACGTCTGTAAGTCTTTCTTCCTTCTTTCTCATTTTAATTTGATATTTTCTTCCTCATGATTCATGAATTTAAGTTTTTTTTTTCTTTCCGAATTTGTCCTGATAATAATAATGATCGAATGTTTATACATATAATCATGTCTTCGAATCGTTATTCCGCTCGATCGAACAATTATAATTTTGATTCCGTTTCCATTTTTAACGCTTCTCGAATCGCAATCTTCGATTACATAATGTATTTAAGAACCATTGAGCTGCACGAGGATGCAATGATGAGGGGGTGTGTTTGGGTCGGGGTGGGGTGGGAGGGTCACCGGAGGAATTAGGGGGTACGAACGGTCAATTTTACGAACTGAGTATCCGAATGCCCCCGACTCATTCTATGACATTGCACCCCCAAGATTAGTACCAAAAATATCGAAAAATTGAGAGGTTACTGTAGTTAATGCTTAGTTCAAAAAATACTCCCTCCGTTCCATGAAACATTTCCCGTTTCTTTTTTTATCCGTCCCACAAAACACTTCTCATTTCTATTAAAAAGTCACTTTTACCCCTTACTTTTTCATACCCTAACTATCACATCATATTTTTTTACTAATAATCTATTCATCAAATCAACCTTTTTACCCATCACATCAAAGGACATTTTTGGAAATTCAATACCAAAATACACTCCCTTAAATCCCTCCTAAAAAACAAATGTCCCATGTTTCATGGGATGGAGGGGGATGGAGGGAGTATCAAATTGAGAGGTAACGTTTTTCACATGATCAAATTTAATTTAAACCACAATCTTAATGAATGACTTTGATTATATTATGTGTGTATGTGATATATGGTGCCATTTGTACGTGGGTGTGTGCACACAGCAGGAGAAAGGCCGGCCGCTGCCAAAATTCGGTGAGTGGGACGTGAACAATCCGGCCTCCGCCGATGGTTTTACGGTCATTTTCGCAAAGGCCAGAGATGAGAAAAAAGGCGCCGGAGCCGCCGCGACCGCCGCCTCTCAGGCAGCGAAACCGATCAACGACAGACGGAACGAGTCTTACAAAGAACCCCCGGTACCTAAGTTTTTTTAATCTCCTCCATTTCCTTCAATTTTATCTTCCCATGCGTCACAAGTCATACCCCATCCGTTCTCAACAATTCTTTCCCTTTTATTTTTTTTACTTCTAACAAAACACTCACTTTCTATTAAAAAACCATTTTTACCCTTTCTTTTTTATACCCTACCTATCACATCATATTTTTTTCTAATATTAAATCCATCACATCTTACTTTTACCCATCACATTAAAGGCAAAATTGGAAGTCAATTACAATTTAAAACTTCCTTATTTTTACACAAAGTCAAAATAGGAACACTTTTATAGAACGGAGGGAGTATATTTTAATGACATTGTTCAAGTGTTTACTGCCACTAGACATTTTTAAATACCTTCCATGGAATAAAAGTTTTAGATACTACATTGGAAAAAGACGTAGTTCTTCTCTTTCTAAAAAGGATTTTTATTTTGACTAATGTGTGAAATAAGAAGTGTATATTTGCAGTTAATTTTTGATTTTGATCTTAATAATGTGATAGGTAGATTATTAATGAAAAAGTATGATATAATAGATAGGATAAGAAAAAGTGGAGTTAAAAATTATTTTTTATAGAAAGTGGTGTTCTTTGGGAAAAAAGAAAAAATGAAAGATGAAATATTTTTAAAAAATAGAGGAAGTGTGTTTTAGTATTATTTAGTACAAATTTCACTTTAATTTTTTGAGTCAAAATAGATAAACTTTGAATTTCAGTTAAATAAAATTATAATGTATATTACGATAAAATGATTTTTTTAAGATTAATTTTGTTGAAAAAAACTTTCATGATTTTATTTTATTGTACTAGTATGCAATTTAAATTGAAAGAAATTGTAACTCAAACTTTTTTTACTTGAGAAAGTCAAAATGGATAAATATACTAAAACAGAGGTAGTATAACATTCATTGTTATATGCAGAAAAGATGGTTTAATCAAGAAAACCATGTCTCGACCTCACGCTAATCTCGCATTCATTGTTTAATGCAGAAAAGATGGTTTTGTTGCTTCTGAAATGGACAAATGAGAAGAAAAATATAGGCCATCGGTGGTGGATGCTCTAGAGATGATGATATATATATAGGGGCTGCATGTGTGGGTAGTGGTGTTTTTTCATTTTTTACTGCAATCATATGTATATATGTATATGTATGCACCTCAAACTCAAAAAAAAAAAACTTTTTGTGTTGATTGTTACACCCTCCATTCAAAAGTTATTTTTCCGTTGCGTGATATGATTTTTGACTGAAGTTATTTTTAAATTGTTTTATACGAAAATTGGTGTGAAAGTAAAAAATACTTTGTAAAAATTACATATTAAAAACTACATCAAAAGATCTACAAAATTAGAGGTGACATGACTATTTTTTTATCAAATGAGTAACGAAAATAGGCCAACAGAGTAAATAAAATTTGACTCAATATGGGGTATTTGTAAAAAGGAAAAGCAAAAATGAAGACTTATTATAGATCACGTCCCGCCTTGAAACAATCCAAATAAAGATCTTCCTTTCCATGCCAACTAACTCTCTCGGTCATGAAATTAATTTCTCTTTTAATTTTTTATGTTCTTTCGGACAGTACTTTGATTATTAATATCTCTATTTATATATAAATATATATTGTGTATTATAAGAATAAAATATTTTAAAAATTACTACGTATGTTACATAAAGAATATATTGATATTAAATTTATATGAAATTCAATTTTTTTCTATAATATGCAGTTAAAGTTTAAAAGGTTTGACCATAAAAGCCAAATTAAAAAGTTAATTTTAAGACGAAGGGAGTATTAATATTGGAGACAGAAATTGTTGTTGTTTTCTATGTGGATATATATAGGGTCCTGAAAAAAGAAAGGAGATAGAATCGGAGAAAATAGGAAAAATAATAGGTTAAAAAATAAAATGGGGAAGATCAAAGTAGGACTAAAATATTTAAAATATACTAAAATAGGACTTCCATGTTTTTGTTCTCGAAATAGGACTTAAAATTCATTTACATTACCAAACATGGTCATATAAATTACTAAAAAGTATAGTAATGTGCACATGTGTAATGCTACATTACCACAATACAAAGTCTCATTTCAGAAAAAAACATGAAAATCCTATTTTGGTACTTTTTTCTATGTTTTAAGTAATTTTTAAAAATAAAAATTAAATAGTACTTCATACGGAGTATAAAATAACAACTACGCCAGAAGTAAATTGACTGTAAACTGGAAACTGACTTCATACTTCTATAAAATTTCTTCAAAGTATAGATATTTTTTTAAATGAAAATAAAATTTAAGTACAAAAATGATACTCCATATATTGAAATTTTTCTTGTTAATTTAAGGCTTGTGGTTTTTTATTTTGACTTATGAGATGTCCTGAAAGGGACAACCATAGGCGCGTTGCGGGAGTATAATTGTATAAAAGCCAAAGCGACGTACCTACCAAATTCCACTACTTCACCAGCCAAGCATTATGTTCCAACACTGGCCCCATACACTCATGCTATACTGATTGTGCTTTCCATGTCCATATTGTTAGTTCCATAATGTTGATTAATCTTTTGGAAAAATAAAATCTCTTAGGTCTTTTATTAAGTAGAAACATTTATTTGTTAGGATAGGTTTATTTTATTTAGACTTCTAGGGTTGCTGCAGTTTTCGAGGTTGACACGGAAGATGCTATAGTACAATGCTGCAACACATTGTTCGGGATCAGAAGTCTGAGCACGGGATTTTAAGTTGCAATCTAAATCAAAGACCTATTGGGATTGTGACTAAATGATAATAACTCAGTTGTGCGTGTTAAGGAATCTCAACTCTTTAGGCTACTTGTGGATCAAGATTAAGGAAGTTGTATTCAAGCCAACTTCTACTATGTAGAATTTAGAGTAAAACTGATCTGTTTTGCATTGATGTTAGAGGTTGTTTATATACATGAATACATAACGGGTTACGGGCTAGGTTACATGTGGGCCCAATACAAAGTAAATACAAATACCCGCTAACACTCCCCCTCAAGTTGGCGCATGAAGATCCAGAATGCCCAACTTGCGTAACAAGAAATCAAAAATAGGTTTGCCCAATGGCTTAGTGAAGATATCGGCCAACTAGTAGCGAGTTGGCACGTATCGTGTCGATACATCTCTTCGCTGAACACTTTCTCGAACTGTGTGACAATCCACATCCACATGCTTCATTCGTTCATGAAAAACCGGATTGGCTGCAATGTATAAAGCGGATTGATTGTCACAATACAATCGGGGAGGATATAAAATCGGCACACCCAAAGCAAGAAGAATTCCTCGTATCCACCGGACTTCCACACAAGCATTTGCCATAGCTCTGTACTCCGCCTCTGCTGAAGATCTGGCAACAGTGATTTGCTTTTTCGTCTTCCATGACACCGGAGAAGTCCCTAACATGATAAAATACCCGCTAACAGAACGGCGGGACATCGGGCAACTAGCCCAATCAGAATCACAATATGCAGAGATTTGTAAATTGCTAGTAGCACTAAGAAAGATGCCCTGACCCGGATGACCCTTGATATACCGAAGAACACGCATGGCGGCATTCATGTGATCCAGAGTAGGAGCCTGCATAAACTGAGATAATACATGAACAGAATAG